AATGCCTTTTTTCTTTCTTTTTCTCTTGTTTTTCTCAATTTTTCTTTGGCTAAAAGTTTTTCTTCCTTTTGTTTAAGAATGTGAATTTCTTCCTCCAAAATTGCAAGTTGTACTTCTCTTTCAAGTTTTTCTTTTTCTCTTTTTAACACTTCTTGCTTTGTCCAAGGTGTTAGTGATTTAAGCCTTTGAGTAGGATGTGAAAAACTTTTTGGAGAGCTTGAATCACTACCACTTGAGGAATATTTTCTCATGATTAAACAAAAGAATTTTGTTTTTATATGCTATGCAAAAAGAAAATATTTTTGGACTTTTCTAGGAACAAAAAATAGCACTTGAAAGTCTAAGTGTACAATTGCACTATCAAGGGAGGTGAGCTACTAAGAGCCACTTAATAACCAAGTCTTTTCAAGTGGAAATCACTAAACTCCTTTGTCGTATTTTCAATTCCACAAATTTTCACAATTTTTTTTTTTATGTTGTATGCTTTTCACAATTATTTTTGAAGCTATCTAAAATGTGACAAATAAACTCTACACAAGCTAGTCGAAATAAGGCAGCGAAGTAAACAATTTAAAGTTCAAACAACTTAAAGGAAGCAAGGATAAGCAACTAGTCGGTTTGCCCTAAGTGGAAGCTTGAAATATATGAAATTTCCAAGCCACTTCCACTAGGACTACACGTGAGTAGGTTACCAAGGGTTTAGATATACCTGAACAAATTCTTAATACTCCCTCCAAGCTTTACAAATTGGTTTAAAATACAAGAGAGATTGCAAAAATTTAAACTAGCCTAGAAAATAATAAATGGCGGCTTTAGTGACAAAATTAGTGACGGATTTGTTGTCCAATTTTCTAACACTTGTTTAAGTGTTCCAATCCGCCACTAACCCTTGAATCAAGTTGCTTCTGGACCCTGCACAATGAACACAACAAAATGGTTAATGTAGGCTGCTCACAAGGTTAAAGGATTGTCACTCTTGTGAATGTATTTTAGGAAAAGTTTGGCCACTAAATTAGGTCAGAGTTTAGGAGGGTGCGGGTGCCTAATAAATTGAGCTTCACTTGTTTGGAGCAGCTTAGTTTGCAAATTTTACAAGCATTTTTGTTCCAACTTCATTTTGCCTTTCAGTTTTCAATTAAAAGATTTTTTATAAGCATTAATGAATTTTACAAGAGGTAAGGTTGCTGCTTAGTGACCAAGAGGTCACGGGTTTGCTGCTCACAAGGTTAAAGGATTGTCACTCTTGTGAATGTATTTTAGGAAAAGTTTGGCCACTAAATTAGGTCAAATTTTGAAGTCTTAATGTCCAAGTCTTTTCCTACTTTTTGTTGAGTCAATGTTTGATCCTTAAGCAAGGATTTGAGGTCACTTCCAGCACAGAATGTTTAGTCAATGAAAACAAGACAAACAACAAAAGCACAATTTATAAAGCTTATACCAAAAAGTGAAGAGTAAAGTGTTTATGACAAGACTCAAAGATATCCAACAAAGAAAGCTGAAAAATAAGACTCCAATGAAAGCTAGCACTCAGTAAGGAAAGCTCCTAGATAGGCACTAGAGTATATTTACAAAACAACATAAAAAATTTGAAGGAATTTGAACGAGTACACACAAAATAGTAGTCCAAAGAATTTTGAGGAATCAAGTGAATTTTCTTGCTTTTGTTCTTCTCGGCTTTTGCTTCTATAATTGCTTTTTATTATTTTTTTTATTCTTTTCTTTTCCTGAATTCAAATTGATATTCCATAGAAGACACTTGCCTTTGTTTTTCAAATTTTTCACAATTCCAAAGTATTAAAACCAAGACTTCTAGATTGACAAATTTCAAGTGAAAATGAATGAACTAGTGCATTAATTTTTAGGTTTTTGATTGGATTCTTTTGTTCACTTTTTTTTTAACTATTTTGAAACATCATGCTCTGTATTTTTCTCTATTTCTTCACTACATCTTGAAGTTGAGATTCATTTTTCTTTAAAATATTTTGTTTTAGAATCTCCACTTCATGACTAGTGGTAGCATAAGGGTAAGAGTTAAGGTTTTTATGTATGAAGAGAGTATTTTGCAAATGGTTTTTAGAACAACTCTCTTCACTCACAAGTCCTTTAGAGGAAATGTTTTCCTCCTTACTCTTCCCTAAGAGAAATGCCTTTTTTCTTTCTTTTTCTCTTGTTTTTCTCAATTTTTCTTTGGCTAAAAGTTTTTCTTCCTTTTGTTTAAGAATGTGAATTTCTTCCTCTAAAATTGCAAGTTGTGCTTCTCTTTCAAGTTTTTCTTTTTCTCTTTTTAACACTTCTTGCTTTGTCCAAGGTGTTAGTGATTTAAGCCTTTGAGTAGGATGTGAAAAACTTTTTGGAGAGCTTGAATCACTACCACTTGAGGAATATTTTCTCATGATTAAACAAAAGAATTTTGTTTTTATATGCTATGCAAAAAGAAAATATTTTTGGACTTTTCTAGGAACAAAAAATAGCACTTGAAAGTCTAAGTGTACAATTGCACTATCAAGGGAGGTGAGCTACTAAGAGCCACTTAATAACCAAGTCTTTTCAAGTGGAAATCACTAAACTCCTTTGTCGTATTTTCAATTCCACAAATTTTCACAATTTTTTTTTTTATGTTGTATGCTTTTCACAATTATTTTTGAAGCTATCTAAAATGTGACAAATAAACTCTACACAAGCTAGTCGAAATAAGGCAGCGAAGTAAACAATTTAAAGTTCAAACAACTTAAAGGAAGCAAGGATAAGCAACTAGTCGGTTTGCCCTAAGTGGAAGCTTGAAATATATGAAATTTCCAAGCCACTTCCACTAGGACTACACGTGAGTAGGTTACCAAGGGTTTAGATATACCTGAACAACTTCTTAATACTCCCTCCAAGCTTTACAAATTGGTTTAAAATACAAGAGAGATTGCAAAAATTTAAACTAGCCTAGAAAATAATAAATGGCGGCTTTAGTTTTAGGAAAAGTTTGGTCACTAAATTAGGTCAAATTTTGAAGTCTTAATGTCCAAGTCTTTTCCTACTTTTTGTTGAGTCAATGTTTGATCCTTAAGCAAGGATTTGAGGTCACTTCCAGCACAGAATGTTTAGTCAATGAAAACAAGACAAACAACAAAAGCACAATTTATAAAGCTTATACCAAAAAGTGAAGAGTAAAGTGTTTATGACAAGACTCAAAGATATCCAACAAAGAAAGCTGAAAAATAAGACTCCAATGAAAGCTAGCACTCAGTAAGGAAAGCTCCTAGATAGGCACTAGAGTATATTTACAAAACAACATAAAAAATTTGAAGGAATTTCACTTATAGATGTCAACAAAAGAAGTATAAAAAAATATTAAAAGATAAGAGGAGAACCTGTGATTCCAAGCAGTCATAAAATCACAGCTTAGCAGTAGAAGAGACTTGCTGTGTCTCAGAAGTATACTTTCAAGATGGTCACAAGAAGAGGAAGCAGTTAAACAATTTCCAAATTTGTCAGATTGATTGTCACACATCTTGTATTCTTTGATTGTAGTCATAAACACATGTTTAGCAGCTCTATATAGCGGTAGAATAACATTAGTTGAAATTCCCAATTTATGATCTCTGTGCCAGAAATATAGGTTTTTTGGTTTGGAAGATTCCTCAGAGCTTGCTACCCTGTCTGCTGATTGATTCATAGCCCCATCAGATAAATTAGACGAAATGTCTGATTCTTCATTTAGCAAGGCAAATTGGGATGGATGAATAAATCCCAACTCGTCACTGGATACAAAAGCATAAGGGAAAACATATTAGAAAGAAGCAATACAACATAGTTATATCAAGCAACATATAATCAAGATTAACCTTAACCAAGACATGTTAAAATAATTGTTTATTATCTGCTGTATTGTACAGCTTTATAAAGCTTTTTTTTTTATGTATCTAGCCTACGGGTTAGGAGTCATAGACTGTAGCCTTTTTCTATGATTGTACCCTTTGATTGTACTTGCTCATATCTATCTCATATACACATAGAAAAATTACATCAGCTGAGAACTCGCACTGACTTCTTCCATATTTTAAGCAATGCTAACAAGGTGTTATTCTAATAACCAAGGTTATATATTACAATATTTATATCATCCATAGACTTCATACGAGTGAATTTTACAAAATTCACTAAAATAAATTAGTAGTAGTTTTTATACAAAGTAAAACACTTACCATTAAGCATTCATGATGAAAAAGTTAAAGCTAGAACTGAAGGAAACATATTTATTGACAGGAACTCTAGAAAATTCACAAGTTTCTAAAGCAACTATGTGGCTAGTATTATATCAGTGTGTGTGCATGAAATCATTAAAACTTACATTAGAGCATCAGATTCGAGGATATCCTCCAACTGATTCAAGAGATCCATAGCCTCTAACTCTACTTTAGAATCAGACTCTTCACTCATATTTGCTAACCTGTATCATGCCAAAGGTGCTGGCCTCAAACAAAACAAGAAAAAGAGGATGGTATCACTTTCCAAATCAATCTAAATAAATAATAATATGATAGAAACTAAGTCATCACATTACAAAAGAAATTCTCCACATATAAGAAGGAAAATCAATAATTATCAACCAATCCATTCATTTAATAAAGCATCAGTTTCAAAGTCCATGACAAGCTTTTGAAAGTAAATTTCCAAGTCCTTCGACAACCCCAAGGTTAAAACACAAGAAGCCTTTTCCAATCTGAAAAAAGTAAGAGCTAGTAAATTTATTGAAGTCAAAGTTTCAATGTTCTCTGGTGCTGTCCATGAATCCATTGTTCATGTCAGTACATCTGTTCCATTTTCCATATAAAATTACTCTCACAGTGACATACAGCAAAATAATTTATTTTCTCTCTTCCTCTGCTTCTCTCAAGGCAAGGAAATCTTTTTCAACAAAATTCTTGCACCCACCATTACCAACTCTCTGAATTCTCCTTAGATTGTGTTTGGGTAGATAATTTTAGAATTCTAAAGAATTTTAATTTTGGGAAAGTTGAACAAAGTTTAGGAAGCCTTTGAATGTTTTGGGGGAGTTGATATGAAGGAGACATGGATGCCCACTTTGGCTAAGGCTATGGAAAGTTGGAAAAATGGTATCAAGTGGACAAAGGCAGACCATGGAAGCGTCATCACATGAATTGCATTATTTTCACAGGCATTTTCTAGGTTTGAAGCTTGCTGCATGCATATGAATCTGATTAACATAGATTCCTACAACTAGCAATTAACAATTTAGAAATTTATATAAGTGAAATGTGATGAAGAGATTAATTATGATTAATAAAATATAGGGAGTTTTTCACTAACCTGGTTGTGTCTATGGAGTGTGAATCTGAACCACTTGGTGTTCGCAACGTGCCGGAAGAAACAAAGAAAGAAGAAGATGAACAAAAAATGAAAAAAGATAAATCTCGAAAGTGAGGGAAAAAGTAAATAAAAGAAAAAAATCCCAACCATCCATTTGTTAAGAAATAAATCTAACGGTGTAAAACAGGTTACGCATGGTGGGAGACTTCAGTCATAACCCATGATAACATAACATAAACAGAACAAATGGGCATGGGAATTGGAAATGAATCGGTAATTCAATTAAATTAATTAATTTACTTGATACGAGATGAATATTATACCCTTCTGTCCCAAAGTTTTAGCATTCAGAAATGAGCACAAAATTTAGTTAAAGTTTTTATTTTTACTAAGCTTATGTATAGTTTTTAAGGTGTGATTGGTGTGGAGTTGGAATTTTTATGTGATAATATGTATAAATATATATTAATGTGATTTATATTAATATTTTTATAATATTAAGATAAAATTTTAATTTTAATTAGATAATAACATCAATCATAACTAAGAAAATGTATTTAAATTGTTTTTTTTAAGGTGTGATTAGTATTATTTTTTTTATTAAAATTGGAGTTTAATTTTGCTAATATACATAAATGTATATTAATAAAATTTGTATTAAATACAAATGTATATTATTGTTTCAATTCTAATTGAAAAATAACATTAACTACACTTACACAACTATTAACTATACTTACACAACTGTATTTAAGAAAATTATATTAAAATAATTGATATTTTAACTTTTTAATGTAATATTAATTATTTTTAAATTTATTTCTTAATTAATTATTCAATTATTAATATTAAAATAATGTATTTATTGAGAAAGTAAAATTACTTTAGTAAAAATATATCAAAAGGTGATACATTATTATTATTATTAATCTGTGTAGAACCCTTAAAATTTAGTCATTAGTATTATTTTTGGATACATAAATATAGTTTACATAATATCTTAAAGTTGAACCAAGAACTAAGAGAGTATTATATTGTCTTATAATGTACTTCTTCTAGTTCTGAATATAGGTAGTAAAAAAAATTGATTCGCATTAATTAAGAAAAGTTGTTTACATTATTTAATTTTGTCAATCTCATAAAAAAAAAAAAAAAAACTTATGTTACTAAGTTATCTTTCTTCAAAATTTGTTATCAAGAATAAAAAAAGGTATTGGATATTTTGGAGATGACAATATAAAATAGAGTAAAATTTTCTTATATTTGAGACCAATAAATACTATCTCATTTTCTATATATAAGACTTAATTATCTAATTCATCAAAATTAAGAAAAGTAATTAATTCTAAAATTATTTTTATATTATTTTTCTTTCCTAATTAATACTTATATATATTCTAACTAAAGAACATGTCTATACTATTTATTATTAGAAATTTTACAGATCCAAATATGTTAAACACGAAAAAAAAAATATTTAGATCAAGTAGAAACAAAAATATGAATCATAAAAAATCAGCCTATAGTCATTACTATTTATTATGAGCTCAATTCTATTTTGTGCCAAAATTCTTCTAGAATAGTTTTGAATCTTCAGTTTAATACACAATGGTGTTGGTGTTTTATATTATAGATAAGAACAGATTTAGTGATTCTAAGAAAGAGCACCACACTCCTTAAATAAAGTTTTGGCCATCACAAAACTTAACAGAAAAATATGCACATAGAAAGATAATGGGTATATCCAAATGTTGTTGTTAGGGATAATGGATTGAACCTAGACTTATAATGGAACACATATAAAGTAACTTCCACGTAAAAATAGTAGTGTTTTTCAAAATGAAAATATTCTCCTCAAAAGAAAGGCATGTCTTCTCCTATCTCCAAGGAAGTAACCAACATCTCCCACTCGATCCATTTAATCCACTATACAGTAGAACAAGAAGCAAAAATATATGAATCATGGTGACAATTCCTCTATAAGTGAGTATTATCTTTCATGTATCACAATATATCAAGTCTCTCACATTAGCTTTTCAACTTAATGAATAAATCATTTGTTTACTCTAGGTCATAAGTAAATGATATTTCTCAAAACAATTGTGCAGAAAATAAATGAAAAAACATAAAACTGAATAAGAGTTTCATTAAAACAATAAATGCACTAACAAGAATGTCACATCATGGAACCAAGTCTCGTTCATGCTACATGATCCTTAAAATTCTTTGGTGACATGTCTTTAGTAAAAGGATTAGCAACCATCAACTTAGTCTCCATGTGTTCAATGACCACTTTATTTTCTATAACATGTTCTCTTATGGCTAAATATTTGATGTTAATATACTTATTTTGGCTTTCATTCTTATTGTTCTTAAACATAAATACTATAATAGAATTGTCACAGTTCAATTTCAATGGCTTAGAAATAGAGTCCACAACTCTAAGCCCATATATGAAACTTTTAAACCATACACCATGTGAGGTAGCCTCAAAACAAGAAACGAACATAACCTCCATAATGGAAGTAGAAGTCAAGGTTTGTTTTGCACTTCTCTAAGATACAACTCTACTAGTTATCATAAAAATGTATCCAAATGTTGATTTCCTGGTAACAATGCAGCCAACATAGTCTGAATCGGAGTAACCAATCACTTCCAAATCATTAGTTCATCTATACATAAGTATGTAGTTCTTTGTTCCAAGAATATATCTTATTACTTCCTTTGCATTTTTCTAATGGTCAACACCTGGATTACTCTGATATCTTCCCAAAACTCCAACAGAAAAAGCAATGGCAGGTTTGGTGCACACTTGAACATATATAAAGCTTCCTCTGGCTCAAGCATATGGAATATTCTTCATATGTTCACTATAACATTCTAAATTATTAGATGCAAAATTTTACTCTTCAAGAATAAGATTTTTATTAAGTTGAACTGATATAAATTATATCTAATTACATTATGAGTCGATAATATATATCTTTTTGTAAGAAATAATATTAGTATTATTGAATTTTATTTATCATTGGGTTTCAATAATATGAGATAAATATATGTAGTTTATTATATATATATATATATATGGAATAATTTATTCTAGGAGTAAGTTTACCATAAACCCTAAACCTAGACTTACTCCATTAAATAATTCATGTTTTATATCAAATTTCAATAATCCAACCATTGAATTTAAATTTCTTAATGCATAGATCAAGTTTGCAAATTTTTTAAAACTTTGAAAATTATTTGATACTTCGTTTCATTAGTTCAAATGGTTTTCATTATTTGAAACGAAGTATTAAATGATTTTCAAATTTCATAAAAATTTTGAAGACTTGATCTATGTATTAAGAAATTTAATTTGAATGGTTGGATCGTTAAAATTTGATGTAAAACATGAATTATTTAATAAAATAAGTCTAAGTAGATTTACTCCTAGAATAAATGGATCATCCTCATATATATATATATATATATA